CTACCCAAGTTAACTGTCTCCTACCCAAGTTAACTGTCTCCTACCCAGTTAACTTGGTTGGTCATGGTGGGGAAAGCAGGGGATGAGCTGCAGCCCTCAGAGCAGCCCTCTGACTCTGCTGCAGTTACACAGCCCGTGCTGCAGCCTGGGTTTCATGGCTGGGCCTGGGTGTGTTGTGGGATGGATTATTTCTACGGGTTGCAATCACATTCTGGGATTGTAGAACAGACCTGATCAATGTTTTAGTAGCTGGCATAGCTATAGTCAAAGTCATTTTTAGTACTGTTGAAGTTTATTACCAAATATTCCATAATCTAATGCTTTGATTGCCCTTGAGCAAGGTTTTATTTTTCATTTGCTGAATTACTAAAGAGCACTATTTATTGTTCAAACTGATAAGTCCAAAATTACTGTGAAAATGATACTGAAGTTTCTTGAAAATTGATTGAAGTATAAAAACTAAAAACTAGTTTAACAAATCTGCTGTGGATGTACAAATGGGAAACCAGTTACAAGTATTGACACACCCTTATTGCAGACAGTCTGGCACACTACACACAGGATGGCTGTGCTGTTTGGATCCTTGAAGGAAAACATGTTACAGCTAGCCCAATCCCTCTCAATATAGGCTTATTTTCACCTTTTCCTGCATGAGTAAAAAATGGGTTTTAAAATAAATGTGAAACACCAGAAACAGTAAGAGGGTAGAATTTTGTGTCAGATTCTGTGCCCACTGACGTGTTAAAATGTAAAATTGCTCAGTGCAGTTCATTGTTAGCACATATGAGCACACCTTAGAGTGTAATATATATCCATTGTCAGTATAAATTCTTGAACAACCCACATCTATCCCCACTGGAGTTCCTGATCCTCACTGGAGTCCCTGTGCTTTCCCTTCCAGGAGAGAGCGCTGGATGCTTGCAAAGGCCCAGCCACGTACACTCTGCAGGCAGGCACCTGCAACTCAGAGGTGAGTCCAGGCAGCAGAGTCTGCAGCACTGCAGGAGCTGCTGCTCTCTCCTGACAGCCCTGACAGTGCCCAAACACTGGGGCCAAGTGTCCCTGCCCAGGATAACTCCACCCAGGCAAACCACAAACCCCACGGTTTCACCTGGTTCAAAGCAGCCGACTCTGACGTGGCTCCTGCAAAAACAACATCTTCAGATTTGTTCTGAGCCTCTCCTGTTTAGAAAAGGGTTTGGAACAAAACTTTCCAAGAAGGTAACTCTTCTCCATTTTGATCTCTTTCAGGTCATCTGTCCACCGAAAAACAACTGCTTAATCAGCAAGAAAATTCCTTTCGTAGTGCCAAGCTCAGCTGGCCTACTTGATAGCAGTGGAAATAATGCAGGAAGAGAGAATATTCTGGAGATGGGTCTGTCAAATACTATCCCACAGAATGCAAAAACAAGAAAAGGTGTCTATCTTGAACTATATTTAGCTCCAGCTACTATAAGAAAAGCATAACTATTACTAGTTGTTCAATACAGAAATGTTATTTTCCATGTAAAATTGCCCCTTCTCAGAGTAAAGCTGTGCCTTCTACTGGTATCATCTGAAGTGTGAGTTCACTGCAGGAAACCAGAGACACCACAATGTTTTTTTGATTAAATGTATAGATAGAAAAGCTGGGTTTGCTAATTTTTTTTTTAGAATACTGAGCTGTACATGTAGAGCTGCCTTTCCCTCACACATCAAATATTGAGTGTTGGTTTTGACAGAACAAGTCCCTCCTGGGAATCCCACTGCTTTGTGCCACCAGGAATAACTGCTTTTTCTGTAATTTGCTAAGAAAAGGAGATAGTTTTAAAAAGACTGTGTTGCCAGGAAGGTGTGAATGATTCCTGATAATCACCACTCCTATGTAAATAACTTCCTTTATCTTTCCAATGTGGATTTGTCCTATCAAAGTGTTTACATTTGTGTCAATAAGTGATTTTCTGTACTTCTCATGCCTTTGGATACAAAAGTTGAGACATAGGAAATCAATTCACTTGTAGCAACCTCTGCATTTCCAAGCCCTTTAGTTCTGACCAACAGTTCAGACTCATGGACAGAACAAACGTTCCATGACTTCAGTAACAAATTCCTGCAGGCAATTTGGAAAAGTCTGGTGTGTGTAGTAATACACACCAAAATCCTCCTAGGAATAATGATGTGGAATGAAGAGCCAGAAGAACAGCCAGTAATAAGTAAGCACCCTCAAGTCAGTCTGAAGCACCAGTCTTCTGCAGTGGGTGACAAATGTATAGTGTTTTGTTGTTGTCCAATTCCAGGGTCTAATCTTGCTCATCTTAACCTTTTCTAGATCATCCAGACTCTGAGAGTAGAAAACCAAACTCCTTTAGGAAGATTCCTTTCTGTGGTTCAGCTGCAGACACACAGAGCAGTCAGGATGTGGCCCCAGCACTGGCTCTGAAGCACAGACCACAGCCAGTGCCCCCTGGACAAGCAGGGACAGGTGAGGCACCACTCCCACTCTGAGGTGGCAATATTTGCCTTGGCCAGATCTTAGCGATAAAATTGTTTAAAATATTTCTAAATATTCAGATATTTCTAAATTTTGTGCACATTTTTAAGTATTTAGGTGCTCCTAACTTGATACAAATGTCTCATGAGTCTATGTATAACTGCTCCTCTCTTCCCAGAAGTCCAGGCACTGACCATTGAGAACATTGGCTCCAGGGTCATTGCCCAGAGCATTCTTTCCAGGATCACTGTGAGGCTGAGAACAGTTCTGAAAAGACCATAATAAAAATACAAAATATACCCCACACATTGAACGTGAAATACATTAGTTGTTTCAGTCTGGAATTATTTGGTTTGCAGTCTTAAGCTGTGCATTGTGTACCTCTACAAGAGTAGCTGCTGACTGCAGAAACAGGTGACAGGTGCCCTCCATTCCCTTCCTCACATGGTCCCAGGTCTCCCTACAGAACAGAGGCAGAAAGGGTCAGCTGCTGCTCTGGGCAGCCTGACTCTGCCTGGGGGTGAAGCTTTGGGAGCTGGGTTTGTTAACTTTTTGCAAACTGGCTTATGACAGTTCTCAGCCTAGCTGGCCATCCTTCTCCATGGCAATTCGCCTGAGTGATGACAGAATTTCTGAATAAACCAACAGACTAGATCATGCAGGAAAAGTTCATCACACAACAGTACAGCAACAATCAGAATGACAGAGGTGTGTTCTCCAAAGCAACAGGACTTCTGGTTCCTAATTTTCACCTGTACACTAAAAACCCTGATATCAGTACTAAGGGTTCTAATCACTTTGTGAAAAGAGACAGAACCCAAAGCTCTTGACCACTTTGCCAAGAGTATTACTTTTCTTATCAGTTTGACTTTGATGTATATTCATTTTCCCAGTTTCATGCTGCATGTTTCAAACGCTCCTGCTACCCTAAGCTGTTGTCTGTCCTTCCACTTCTGACAGGAGGAAGTTTTCTCATCTGTGTCAAGCCAAGCTGCTTTGCATGAAGTTCGATACAGATGCTCAATGAATAGCACAAGACCTGAAAATCTGCTCCCCTAAAAAACTGAGCACTTAATGGGCTTCAGAAACACTTATTTTCTGTAATCTGATCTTCATGAGTTTCAAACAAAAGATGAAAATACTTTGGAATAGTTTTGAACATAGAATGCAAATAAACTCTTCCCACTTTCTTCCTCTACTGAGTTTATATTCCTGGTGTTGATGTTACCACTTGCTAAAAACTTCTGGAAGAAAATAATACCAGTTTAACACATTTTGTTTCCTTTTCCCCTTTCACTTCCTTTTTGCTTTTTGTTTCCAGGTCCTTGCTGCACAGGAACCTTCTGTCAAATCCTCACGTGCCAGAGGCAGAGCATCCTGAGCTGCATGACAGAGGGGAGGCTCAACCACGTGCTGGACGTGCTCCGCTCGCAGCAGATGCTGTCCCGGCCGGACTATGAGACCATCACCTCCCAGCCCACCCTGACCCGCCGGGCCCGGGCCCTGCTGGACACCTGCCTGTGCCTGGGGGACAGGGCAGCACAGGGGGTGCTCACTGCACTGGCACTGACCAAATGTGGTCCTCTGGGACGAGCCAGCCACTGCCCAGCCTGCCCTCTGAGGTGAACAGGCTGCTGCTGAGGGAGATCTTTGCAGTCTGTTCTATGTGCTCTGTACGGGCAGTGATTCACATGAACTCCTCACACCAGTGACCCAAGGCAATCCTTCCTACAGCCCAGGAGTTTTGTAAGATTGAAAGGCTTCAGAGAATCAAGAAGTATTTCTTCAACAGGGCTTGGAAGTTGTACTCGGATGGGAGACTGCCTGGGAATACTGAGTGCTGGAGGCTTCCCTGCCTCCTTCTGAACTCATCCATGGACACGGGTGCTTTGGAGTGTCCTGCTCTGCATAGACTCATCCACAGGTCACAGACCCTTGGAGTTCACCCTGGAGTTCCAGTTTGTCCAGTACACAGGAACACTGCTGTTATCACAATGTTCCCAGGCCCAGCAGAGTCAGATAAGTGGCACAGCAAGCAGTGAAAGCAAAAAGCCAGCCACTAACAAGCACTAATGTACAGGAGGCAGCAAGGCCCATGGCAAGCACAGAGCCTGTCAACAGCTCAACAGCAGCTAGAAATGTGATCTAGCACATTCCAATCAAATCTGGTGCTGCCTTGGACCCTTCAAGCCTTGCATTGGGTGACTGTGCAAGCTCTGCTCAGCAATAACAAAAACATCCCTAAATTATCAACACTGTTTTCAGCACAAATCCAGAACACAGCCCCAGAGTGGCTGCTATGAGGAAAATTAACCCTACCCCATCCAAAACCAGCACAACTGGGAAGGAAAATAATAAGATTACTCTAATTATTATGAAAATGATGAGATAAGATGCCAGTTTTTTGAAGGCCCAGTGGGATTTCAAGCTCCATGGCACCAGACTAACATGAGAATTTATACAATCTACAGGTATTTCAAACACAAAGCCATGTTACTCTGTTTCTCTATGTTGCTTTTGTTCTCTCTGCAGTCTCAAAGTGCTCACTGAATTCAGCAGTTTGGCAGATTGCAATTTTAAGTACAGTAATATGTTGTCTAGGCACACTTAAAGAGATAAGAAATTTGTTACATCAAATTTCCAGCTACAGTACTGCTGAAAGCACAAACGTAATTTTCTTTTACATAATTAAACTTTGAGATTGCCTTGAGATAAAATATTGTTACAATTAAAAGCAATGTCTATCAGGATGTGTTGACAATAGTTTTGCTTATTAAAGGAGTTAAATATCTATTTCACAGTTAATTTTTTTTTTTCAATCTACACTTTAAATGTGAATTTTCAATAGTCTCTGCTAAAAAAGGGGTGTGAGGAAAAGAACTGCTGTCACAGTGTTTTGCCTCTTTAGAAGGCATAAAATAATCTGAGCAAAGCAAATAAACATTCACCTGTGGGACATAGTTCCCAATTTTTAAAAGAGGAACTGGCAATACTGTTGAAACAATTATCAGCTTCTGTTGGACACTTTATACTTCTGTGAAAGATGTGCTGGCTGGCAGGCTGTGCTGATTCTTTGTCATTATGTTTTTGACACAGAAATAGTTTCAGCTCTTTTCTAGAAACAGCTGCCCACTTCAGAATATAATCTGATGCCAGACCCAAGCCCAGTCTCCAATGTCAAATGCACAACTGGCATCAAAGCAGTGGGAGCACTGGTTATCAGGGTGGTGGCTTTGAAGGGATGATACCAGTTTGTTGGAATGAAACTGCTGTTGATATAAAAAGTTTTGATCCCAAACTAAAATACAGTAAGGTGAAAGCAGCATCATTTTGTCTCTCCAAAAATATAAACTCAATCTTAAGGCCTGTAGTGTGTTGAACAACTGGAGTTGCAGGAAGGAAATATAAAACAGGGTAACTCCAGACAGCAAAGGGGATAAAAAAACAAAGTCACTTCAGGACCAATTAGGAAAACTCTCTGTTGCAGTTACTTAGAAAAAACAAAACTAAAATAAATAGGTATTCAAAATTATGAGTCATATTCAAATTTCATAAAGCTATTTAAACTTATTAAAGGAACAGTAAGTGGGGTAGGAAGATGGTTATTTTTCTGACTTATTGTAATGTATTTTTCTTCTTGATGCTGGTTGCAGCTATCTTTTGCTGATTTGCAAAAAGATGACTGTCCCTTGCCCTTTGTCCTATCTATACAACACTTTTATCTGAGCTGGGATACTTCCTGCAATGTAAGAATGTCTGCACTAGAATTTGCTTGAGGTTGATTTGTGGAAATTAATCTGAGATACTGGAATGAAATGTTTAAGAGATTAGTCTTTCCAGGAGAGAGCAAGACAAACAAAGCTATAAATACCACTCTAATGTTGCCAGGACCTGCTAAACAGTTCCAGAGAACATCAGAGGAAGATAACAAGTGCATATTCATAAAACACTAATCTGCAAAATTTCAAAAAATGCATTAATGGACTGCTAACGTACACAGAATTTTACACCACACAAGCAGTCCAAAATGTACAAAACCTAAAGCACTGATGAAAACATACTAACCCTCAAGGGTTCTGATTTTATTGTTTCAAGTCTGAATTCTACATAACCTTGTAACCGTTTTTCATGCTTGCCCAGGTTCAGTCACTGGAGCTGTTCATGTGCAGGTTTGTAAGGCTGAGTGCAAGTGTAAATGCTGTGCTGGGGAAGGACCCAACCACCCTGCAGGCAGCACAGAGAGTGAGGTTCCTTTCCTGTGTTTGCTGAGTGCTGTACAGCTGTTACCCAGGAGCTCCCCAAGAACATCTGCTGCCTCTCAGCCTGCTGGGGTTTTTTATGCTTCAAGGAATTTTGTCTTGCACTATACTCCTTTTCATTCCTTTCCTGCCCCCTTCTTTGCAAAATACTTTATGGCTGCTCAAAAGGCCTAAGCATAGTTTGATTTTTTTCCTTTTCACCACAAGTAATCCCTTCCTTGCTTGCCTGGTCCTACATTCCCTTAGCTGAGCACATGGTTGACTTGACAGCTGGTATGTCAGCTGAGTTAAACAAAACTCCTGGGTTTTGAAGGTAAGTCCACCATAAATTAAACTACCTGACAAGGTCTGAAAAAAACATATTTAATGAGTTATTTGTGTTACACTAAAGTCAGCATAGCTGCAAGAACATATTAATTGTAAGCATTTTACTTAACCCCAGCATGGTTAGACAAGAAGCTCATACATACTGTTTCCAGCTCTGGTAATGACAGAAATTTGTGATCAGTATTTTCTTATTTCCTGCCTTTATTTCTCTTTGCTAAGAATACATCCCCAGTAAGAGTTACAGAACTCCTTCAGCCAGGATGAATTAAATGGCAGCGATTTAGAATAAGAACTTATTCACCCCTTGGAATATGACAACATTCCAAAATAACCTCAATACCTATTTCCAGCTGTTGTACTTGAACCTTCCACACAGCAAGCAGAACCTTCCAATTCATACCAGCAGAAAGCACAGACGAATTTCACCCTCTCAGAAGTAACCTGGCTGCAGTTCAGAAAGTTCTGTACAGTTAGTCCTTTCCTTAGGTTTCAAGAAAAAAGTGTCATATTAGTTAACAGAGTGACTACCAACATTATATTTGTTTGTCCTTCTGGACAAAAAAGGGCTCAAAGCTTTTTTCCAGCTCATTAGAATGTTACCAGGGGAAAAAAAATTTAAAAATGAGAGAATTGACTAAGGAATACACCTGGAAAATTAAAAAACCCCTGACTGTATGAGACTTTTGACAGTCCTCAGCTCTAAGCATGGACTGAGGAGAAGCCAGGAGGGGGAGAAAGGCTGATAAGCAGAGAGGAAACCTGATGTGTAAGGACAGGTTGATAAAGTTGTGTGTGTTTGGTCTGGCAAACAGGAGATGAAGGGCATGGCAAAGAGGGGAGCAGAGGCAGTGAACATGCAGTGAGGGAAGGGAACACCTGCTCTGTTCTTATGGCTTTGGGATTCTGGAGCAGCTTTCAAACAGGGGCTTAAAAAGATTTAAAGGCCATTATGAAGACAGGCTCCTTTCCCCCAGCCAGAGAAATTAGCAATATTCATGGAACTTTTTTTTCCACCTGATCAAGAGTCCTTTAGTTGACAAAATTAATATAAACAACAGTGATTTGCTAAGCTTTGTTACCTCAGGCTGTTCAGTTTATTTATGCAAACTACAAATGTTTAAATTGATTTAAGGGAGAAATGAATGTATTTTTGCCGGGAGTTACATAACATGAATATTTATAACTGGTGTAAGGCACTCACTATTTATTTCACCAACACCTACCTGTGAAGTCATGTGCCTGTTAGCAAGTCAGCCACTGGAATAGAGAGAATTTGAATTAAAGAGCCCTGGAGATTACTTCCACCCTTTACAATGTTTCTGTGAATTCTAAAAGGAAAAGAAGGCTTTCCTACATTTTTGCTTCTCTGCAGATAATGGTTGGTCATCTTCTCTCAAATACAATGAAAATCTTTTCCATTTTTATTAAAAGGCAATCTTTATTAAGCAAGATCTCTGCCAATCCATTAAATGTTTGCTGAGAGAGCCACTGAAAAACATAATCTTTATCATGTAGAAAAATTAACTATTTTGAGATTATTTATTACCCTGAACTTTCTCTTGTCCCCTTTGTCAGTTTTTAAAATGGGATTTTCTTTGCATTAATGTATTTTCCTTCTTCTTTTTGCATGAAATTGCAGGAATATTAAAAACACCCAACAACTCACCATTATGACATACAATGTTAAAATGCAAACAAGATAATAGGACAAAAAAATAGGTCCTTACTTGTGCTGAACTGGCATGACCTCACACAGAAATTTGATTGTTTTTCTGATAAATGCATGTCTCAGGTTTTACTAAGCCCTGTATGAGACTAAAAGATTTACAGCCAAAGAAATATTTCAACTCAGGGAGGCTTTCTGCAAACCAGCTCTTACTGCTCTGCCCTCCCTTCTGCTCTGACTCCTGCAGAGCTGGTTCAAATGCAGGCTGGGATGGCTGGGTAAAACCTTTTCTCTCCACTGAAATCAATCATCTGCTGGTATTCAAACCTGCAGATCTATTTGTTTAAAGAAACCTCTCACTTGGGTAGAGAATTCATGATATGTACAGGAGAAGACATATTTGTATGCCAGTTTATATTATGTCTTTCAAAACTAAAATTTCATTTTCTGTATGATATATATCGGGGTTTGAACTCAGCTGTTGAATTTTATTTTATTTTAATGTGTTCAGTAGGAATGTTTTCTTCTATTCCATTTACCAGCATACCAATATAGCAATTTAATTCATTCTTAGAGTCAGAGAAGCATTTAGATGGGAAAAGACCTTTAAGATCATTGAGTCCAACTGTAAACCTGACAGTGCCAAGTCCACCCCGTTCTCAGCTAGTCTGAGACTATTTATTTCATTTCAAACCCGATGGGAACTCTCAGCTCTTCACCCAAATGAAACCCCACCTGTGAAAGCTGCTGGGATCCAGTGTTCCTTACTCACCTTCAGCAGCAAGAGAAGGTGCCCCTGGCCTGTGGCCAGGCCTCTCCTGCTTCTAACAGTGCCAATTAACTATGCCAGTTAATTGTGCACAGTGACAGCTGCACAGGGAAAGGTGCAGCAATGATTTGTTACTTCAAGATATGCTTGGGCATGAGAGGATTTTTCTTGTTTGTTTTTACAGCTGACTGTTTAATCTCAGATGGTTTTTTCTTGCACAAAGGAAGCCTTTTTAAAGAACAAAATAAAAGATAATTATCAGGATTTCACAGCTGTAATTTTACAGGATGGTATAGACTGGATGTAACTCCAACAGCATGCAGTGGAGCTGTCTCCTGTGTCTTCTGATTGTTTCAGCACAGCCACCCAACATAAATATTTGGGGTTTGTTTCAATAACACAACCTCATGGTTAACTACAACATATGTTACTCTAGCATAGAATAATCCAAAATAACAACACTTCAGTAATAAAATTTGTCCTTTGCAATAAGGACAAACAGGGAGTTGTCCATGGAGTGTGATCACTGCCCGAGGTGTGGGGTGAGGACACCTGCAGGACTCCAACCACAAAGTCTGTTGGGTGAGATGACACTGATGACCCATCCCAACAATTAACCTGGCCAGCTCCTAGAGTTTCAACAGAAGTTGAGGTCCTCCACATTTTCCCATGCTGACACTGAGGTAAAAATAACTGCCTGCCCTCCCTGAGCAGTAACATGACACCTGGAACCACGAGGTGCAGTTTCCTCTCTCATCCTGCCCAAGCTCTCACACAGTGCTTGCTCTCACTTTGCTCGCTCTTCCAGGGTCATGTAACAGCGAGGACAACAATGCACTAGTGCTGCATAAGTGACCATGTCTCAATAAATCAATATTATTGGTATTAAGAATACCAATATTGTAGCTTGTGAGATTTAAACTAAGAAAAAACAGTACTGAAAAGAACAGCAGTAAACTTTAACAAAAGCAAATATTTCTTCTGGAACTAAAGTACTCCTGTAAGTGTCTGCAGCACAGCTTTGTGTGTTTTCAAAAGTTTGATTTATGGCACTTCACAGTATGTGACTGGGAAGCTGAAAAGGCTTTTCATAGTTGTGGGGATCTTGCATAACTTGGGAAACTCCTGGTAGTTCTTAATTAGTCCACTACGACTTTCTCTGTGGGACACCGGACACACCAACTAATCAAGAGCCAAGTGTGGAACAAAGGAGGGAAGTGCAAAACACTCAAACAGACTGCTGAGGAATCATTTCTGAAAAGTTAGCAAAGCCAACCATCATTTTAATTTCAGGCCTGAATACCTTCTAATATTAGCAAAGAATGGATTAGACACTGGAACGACTGTTCTGGCAGAAAAAAGACTAAATCCATTAATAGAGATCCTATCTACTGCAAAGGCAAATGGACTGGCAACAAATCCTCTGTGTTTTGATAAAACACTTTCCCTAATCCTAAAGACTCTCTTAGCATTAAGATATTTTACAGCTCAATTTTTAGAGTGGACTTTTAAATATTGAGACATTCTGAAAATCTTACTCATGGAACATGAAGTCTTGGGCAAGAACTCAGCAAAAATGTCCAGGGTGCTCTGATCTTGGATTTGTGAAACAACATGGGATTCTTTATTTTACAAGGTGTGCCTGTGCCACACAAACTGCAGAAACAGAACTTGTTTGTCACTCTTCCCTCACATACACATGAGCCTGTTCCCCTTATAGGCAAAATGCATTCGGTCATATTTGATTTGTGCTGTGTGGAACCTGTGCACAGAAAGGTCTTGGGGATTATGTTTGGGGAAACTTTACTTTTAAAGACAAACTGAATTTGGATCGAATACAAATACAGAATCCTGCACAAGTCTGAAAGTTTAGGGAATAAAGGCTGTCCTTACTATGTGTTCACCCCACCATTGTTCCCACTACTGTAAAGTACTGAGCTGTTATAAGTTCTCTAAATAAAATGGGAAGGAACCCTTTTATGAAAGGTACAAGTTTATTTGCATTGTACAAACATTTCTGGGTAATTCAGTAATTGAGGGAAAGGCAACAGGAGTGCACCAAAAGCAAGGATGCAAGAGTGGGATCAGCACTGGTGGGGCTGGATTCAAAGTGGCTCTGCTGAGGAACATCTGGTTGAATTTAAACAGCAAAGTTTGGACTCAGCGTGATAACACAAACAAAATGATGATATTGGCTGCAGCCTCTAGGAACCAGCTCTTTCAAACAGAGTAGCAATGTAACCACTGCTGAGGATTATCAGAATCTTCTAAGGTTCCATACTCCTGCTTTTAATCAGACACCACAAGTATATCAAAAAAAGGACTCACAATAATACAGGGGAATCTATAACAGAAAGAAATTTTGCTGTTTTGAAGAAAGTCTGAGCAGTCATATTAGAAGGCCAGAGTTACACAACATAAAATAAATGCCAAACCCAACAGATGTCTTCAAACTGTCTCATCCAGAAGAAATTTATTTAAATAATGTCAAACTGGGTTACAAGCATTATAACTAAGGACTTCATATTCTTCAATCACAGTACCCACATACTAATTTGGGACCTGAAACAAGAAAAAGATATTTATTCTTAAGAAGCTATTTTTACAGCCAGAAATCCTCCTTAGTTTGTTTTTATACATAATCACTTTTAATAGCCTTCAAAATAGACATGGACAAAGAGCATTACCTTTAAAAATCCCTGCAGTGTTACAAGTGTTGGTGAAACAATGATTCTAACTCCTACGTTTTTTCCCAAGAAAATGAAGCCAGGATTCAGTCACTCTCATTAATAAATAGCCAGATCCTCATGAAGTGAATTCAACACAGATAAGACAAATTGTATTATCAAAGGGTAGGGCCCCAAAGTTGAATGATTTAATTGTCTAAAACATCAAGTCAAAGCATCTATTTAAGTATATCTACAAGGGATTATTTTTTCCAAATAAATCCCCAAAATTGACTTGATGTATTGAAAAACTTGATGTATTGAACATTCCACTTGTAATAGAGAAGATTACTTGAGCAACTGAAAATAGCAAGTGTGTGGTAATAATCAAAACAGTTCTGAAAAAATACTATAAACCTTTGATGTTTATCTGAAGATGTGGATTTTTTTTTGCTGTTGTTTCTTTGCTCTCCTGGCAAAGTTTTACTGATAACATTTGAAGACTTGTCCATATATTAGAAGATATCTATTCCCACTTTTGTTCTGCAGCCTGGACAGCACTGAACAAAACCAGCTCATAATCAAGTGCAGCAAAGATATGTATAAGCAAAAATTTTGATGAGACTGGATGAGTCAGTGAAAAGGAAAAGGTACCTGAAAGGCAACAGAACTAGACAGGAAAAATAAAATTTAAGATGGGATGTTAAATCTTATTTTAGAGTCTGTTTTTAAAAAACAGTATACAGAAGCTAAGTTTTCCATAAAAGAAGAACTAATGTTCAGAGTATTTAAATAAGTGCAGTTGGACAAGACAGAGACATTCCACAGTTTCTGTTCCTTAAAGGGATATTTTCCACTACCTCCTCCTCTTCCTTTTCTCTCTGCTCCGAGCTTACTCCACATTTGTACTTTTGTGATTATGACAGTCAAAAACTAATCTTCACAAAAGTATTGTTTTCTGCCAGCTTAGTGAGCAGAATTGTCTCCCAGAGGGGGCCAGGCCAGTGCCAGAGCCAGTCAGATGCTGAAAGCCATTGGAATAGGAGGAGACACACAGCTGGGATCAGGGGAAGATAAATTTAGAAGCCTAAATTTAGACCTTTCCCTTTAATTGCCTAGCACTTTGGTGCTTGTAGTCACTCTCATTTGTAAGTAACACTTACTCTGCCTGAACCACCTAGAGCAGAAATTTCTATGATGGAAAGAGGACGGTAAAAAGAAGAGGAAAAGGATCAGTGAAGTTGGGTTTGTAAACAGTCACTCAGCTGTAACCAAAGAAAAGAAACAGGGACACTTGCATTTTTTTTTAAATTGTTTCTGTTGCTCTCCTGAAAGACTACTGAATATGTGGCTGACACTGTTCTTTGAGATCATGAAGGCTGAAAAACTACAAAAAATAATCTCTGCTTTTAAGTACTTATAAAAGTTGTAATTTCCTGGGATCTGGCTAAAGCCACAGATTTATTGTCCCGAAAAATGTTATGATCCCTATGAATAACTCTTGTGTCCACAGAATGTAGAGTTCAAAAGAAGCATGAAAGTGATGCCAGGACTCACTGTGTATGGTAAAATTTCAAAAGGAACCAACACAAATTGTCAAACACAGGGCTGGAAGCAAATCCCCATTATTTCCATTGCATAAGGTCCCAGTTACACACAGACAACACACCTTCAGTGCTGACTTTAAGGAGCTCAGCACATGCTCATTCTTCCATGAATTAAGTGCATGAGCAACACATTCTTGGGAGATTTATGCAGTTAAGGATAGGCTTAAACTCACTCTGAACACCAGAGTTCACAAGTGTTCACAAAGCCCAAGTTTAAGGATTCAGATTCACTTCGATTTAACAGCAATTTTTACCTTGGGTTTGTCATGTTCTAAAACCAGTTAGTGAATATCATGTGGACTTAGCTTCCTGTAATCTGATGCAAGTTCAATTTGGTTTATTTAGGAGTATTTCATCTGCTTATTCTTCAAGCTTTTTGAGTTGAATTAAATTTTCTCAGATGTATCTAAGTGGCAATATTAGACAAAAAGAAGAAGATAGGGCAAAACCCACAGACTTAACCAAAACTCCGTTTGACTTTGTTCTGACTAGGTAAAGGAGATAAGATCTTAACTTGATTAAATTAGTATCAGATAAAATCCGAGTGGAAACAAAGTCTTTTTAAGTTTTCTTTCTCTCCTGCTGCTTCGAGAATAGCACTTCTGTGTAAACATAACTTACCAGTGAACATTCATGGAGCCCCAGGGATGAACCATACAGTTTATGTCACCTGTAACAAGAAGAGAAGAAATAAAGTAAGGAGTCCACACTTATATTTGGCTTCCATAGTGAAACTGAAGAAGTAATTTATAAAGTATGAACCTTTCCAAAATGGACAAAAACATCTATTTGGATGATTATTGTGAAGTTTGCTTCTGGTCACCTGCAAACATTTTAGAAGCATCATCTACCCTTCTGATGCTGTCCTAACTTGGAGCTCTCATACCAACCTCTACAGTGTTCTAAGTTTTCAGAATTCAGAAGGTGAACTTCTATTTTGAAATCACCAAATGGGCATTTTTTCCAATAAATATTTTTCGAGGTTCTAAAATAAAATGTCATCCTCTATACTTCCAGTATATGCCTAATAATTTGTTTCCTATGCCTCTTCAGTTCTTCAGTTCCTAAAGGCAATTTTAGAATTAGTTCACATTTTATGAGTGCATTTTTCGAGGAGTGAATGTTTTCTTCAGTAGATTCAATTATGAGAGAGCTTAAAAGGCAGTCTAGCAACAGCTGAAATCAGCTGCATCTTTTACATTCACACTCAATCCACTTTTGATTAACGTGTGAGACAGTGGTGCAAATCCCCCCCTCCCTGGAAGATGCTGTGTTGGTCCTACAGAACACAGAGCACCAGCAATATTTGTAGCAATGACTTAACACCTCATGACTGTTTTCTGGTTCATATTACCTTTATAACAGCGACTAGTTTCATATGGTAGGAATTTGAGTTATAGTCTCGGGATGTCTTTGACGGTTTTTTTATCTTCTGTCAGTGCAGTATAAGTGGCTTGAAAACAAAGAAGTCGCCTATCAGGACTGTTAAGCTCCCAGAAGGCAGCAGACTGGTTTTGTTTGCTGCTTTGCAACACTGTCAGTAGTTTTAGGAGGTAATAGATTTAGTGTAGTTCGTGTTTGACAAAAGCCAAACAAAGAGTTGAGACAAAGATAATTAAAGAGCTGAGATGATCAGGCTCTTCAGATTATGATCTGCAAATGACAGATTGTTTTGCTATGGTGCTGTCTAGTTTAGAAATTAAGTCTAATGTAATTCTCTTCCATATATGCACTTAAAAAGCCAACTTCTAGGAAAAAACAAACAAACAAAAACCCAACAAAACAACTTTCTTAATTCATTGTTGTCTAAACACAATGTAAGGAATATCTGGAGGTGTAGAGGAGGGCAGCAGTCGCCTGCTAGACTGTCTGTGACAATGAAGGAAAACAACTCTTTGATAAAACACACAAGCTTTGAGATGAAGTAGGATGGAAATTAGAAATGGAAGCCTTGTGGCAAAAGAATTGGACTCCACTATGACATTTACTGGCACACTTATAGATATTACAGTCCATAGTTTGCCTTTCTCTTCTCTTTTATAGTCTTATAATTTTTATTTGCCCCTAAGGTTTTTCCCCTCTTGAAAAACACCACCTCTGACTCATCTGAGACTGTAGATAATAATCTTGGACCGGTGGAGGAGTAATTAGATTGTTTAGAGCAAGACAAAGACTGATGTCTCCTGAGCCCTTTGCCTCTCAGGTAAGGGTAATAAAAGAACATTAAGAGGGGGCTGTTGCCCTGGGGTTCAATGCCTTAGACTTGGAAAAACTATTAACCTGCTAGAGGAAGACAAGAAAGCCTTAATTACACTACCAAGATAAATCTGCGGAACGGCAAATTGCTCACCATTATTTTCAGACACCACGGGCCATTTTAAATCATGATTCTGGGAGATGGTATTTTAACGGAGCCAAATTTCGGGCGTGGCTGTGCCTCTCCTGCGGGCCGAGACACACTAACGGGAGTATTTTAAGGGTTCCCTTTTAATTTCTACGTCTGCTATGACTGGCGCTTACCACCTATGCAGCGGTAACCCAAAATATCACCACATTTCACCGTTTCGACCCTCCTGGGCCCCTGACCCTCGAGCCTGAGGGTCCCTCAGGTGTAACTGGTGCGGGAGCTCGGTGTCCCTGAGGGACCGAGGGTGGGGCCGGGACCAGGCTCCGCGTTCGTACCGTCAGCGCTGCGGCTGCTCTCCATCGTGCCCCGGAGGGAAGGGACGCGGCTGGTCCCCCGCCCCGGGGGAAGCGATGGCCGCTCTCCTCACCCGGCGGTAGCGGAGGGGCCGCCGCCAGCCCCGGGGGGCGCGGGGCAGCTCGGGCCCTGCGAACACCTCCCGCCTCCGCCGCGGGTGCCGGGCGGGCCGGCGAGGCCCCGGCGGCGCGGGGGGCAGCTCAGGCCTCGCGGCTTCCCCCTCGGGCAAAGCAAGCGGGAGGCGGGGAGGCGGCGGAGGCGGAGCGGCGGGGCGGGGCGGAGCAGCCGCCATCACACGTGTGGCAACGGGCGAGCATCCCCGAAACGGCAGCGGCGGGAGCGGAGGTAACGCGGGGCCCGCGGAGGGAACGCGAGGCTCGCGCCGCCACGGCCGGGCGGGGCTGCGGAGGCGTCCCCGGGCTCCTCTCGCCCTGAGGGGAGGCTGGCGGGGCTCGGCGCGGGGGCTGCCGGCGGCGCCTCTCCTGCAGCATCCAGGGCTGGGCGGCCTCGGCGGGCTGCGGCCGTGCAGGGTGGGAGCGCGATAAACGCCGTGTTTAAGGGGTGATTCAGCGGAAGCACATGTGAGTGCCCCAGCCCTGACAGTCCCCGGCTGAGGCGGGAGCCTGCAGCCGCTTCCTTCCTGGGGCTGTCGTGGCGCTGGAAGTCCGCCTGAACCTCGCCCCTCGAGGGGCGAGATGACACCCGATCCCCCCTGGGGCGGCGGGACCCCCTCAGGGTCCCCTCACCCACAGCCCGGGGTCCCGTGCCGAGCCCAGGGGGGTTTGTCTGAGCCGTTGTATTTGGTTTGGCAGCGGGCGGTGCGAGGGTCCTGCCGGTGCCTCAGCCGGTTGTAACCGCTCCGGTAACGCCTCGCCGGGGCTCGGGGAGACCCTCAGGCCGGAGTGTCTCGGTTCACTGGCGCTTGGTGGTGATTTCCATTGCTTATGTGTTTTTAAGTGTCACGTATTGAGTACAGTCTGTTTAGGCGTGACCGTGGGTCGCGCCTGCAGAGTACACATGGGTGTAGATCTGTAGGTAAGAGTGTGCTGTTTGGCGTTACTTTCCCCCCTTTTGGGAGGTTTTCACTTTTCTGCCCCAGGGTAAAAAACAAGGTCAGTTATTGAACAAATTCTTCTGTCTTTACCTGAGCCTCATGCTACAAATTTCACCAGATGTTCCGCTCCTTGCGGTTGCTTCGTGCGCTCCCAGCCACACCTCTTGCTAAATCAGTCACCACAAAGTCCGTGCTGTGAGCTTGCTTCTGTTTTTTCCCTTGGAAATATAAAAATAAGTATGAAGGATATAGTGGCAAACTGTTTTCCACTTGGAGCTGTTCTTTAAAATGATTCAGTGTAAAATCTAGGTTAGTATTAATGATGTGGATTTGTCAAGGATTGGTAATTTCAGAGTTTTTGGGAAGTTTCTGAGACACTGTAACTGAATATCTGTTGTGAGCTGATTCGGTGTTCACAGCCTTATTCAGGATTTGTCCAAACACGTGGGTAGTATGTGTATTTGCAGAACATCTCTTTCCAGCTGTGTCACAGGTGTGTACGGTCAGGATTTACCACCATCACTGATAAACTATCAAGTGAATGACTGACATAGTAACTTCTCTTTCATACCTTTTTACATGGTAAACATACCTGGTCATTTTTTTAAAAAAATGGGTGTTACAACCAATTCTATTTGATTGAAGGTTTATGGGGTTTTTTTAATAGTCCTGAAGATGGTGAGTTTGCATATGCAAGCACCAAAGACTTGGTTGAACAGAATAATCTTTACATCGTGAATTGCTTTTGTTGCAAGGGCTTCCTGTCTGCTCAGCATATGTATGTATGGCAGGGAAGTGATTCTTCTCTCACCAGCAGAAAGGAAAACACGTGCTAGACAAACTCTAAGCCTTTCCCACGTAAATGTTCAGACTGTGAGGTGCCTAAAAATATATACATTGCAATGAATAAGCATTTCTGGCACTTACAACCTTTGCTCTGTTGGTGCTTAACTCCCTGAAGACTTTGATGCTGTTTGCCTGTATAGAGCAATCTTGGCTCTTACTCGAAGGGCCATTCATTGTGTTCAGAAATAGGAGTCTTACATCTGGTGACTTATTTATATGTGAATAGTCCAAGTAGAGGGGTAAAGCTGTGTTATGGTGAGAGTTGTTTTAGGCAATCAAGGCAACTATGGAAGACAGGCAAGAACAGTAGAAATCTTTGGTGATGAGCAGGTACTGTATAAGAAAACAGCAAAACATAGTAAACCTTCAGCAGTTCACTTCACCTTGGCCATTAACCCACCCGCAGGTTCACCCCAGGCTGAGCACATGACAACTGTCCTGTTCAGTGGGAGAAAGGGGATCTTGGTGGAGGGTTCCTCTTTCCCTTCCCTTAAAGAAGGGCCACCCTGTAATGCAGTGTTAGTGCTCTGCTAAATGCATGTTAACCTTCATTAGCTCCTTTGGTACCTGGCCAAGGTGGGATCGGCCTTACTAGAATATACAGTTTGGGTGAAGCACTGAAGGGATCCCAGTTTCAGGTCACTCTGTCCCAGGTTCATATGAAAGCCTTTTCTATCAACAGCAGAGTCATTTCAGTAAAAAAAAAATCTCCACATATCAGCAAAAAGATTCCTCAGAGCTGCAACGATCAGCAAGAAAAAAGAGTTGGAAGACTTTGTATTGCACAAGGGTGAGCGATGAGGAAATCCGTGTTAGTTAGCTTGTGTGAAAGCATAACCCTGCCTTAGCCACAGCAGTCCTGTGGCCAGGCTTTGGCAGCATTAGAGATTGTTCTAATAGTATTTTTAAATGCAGTGTTACAGGATTATTGTATGTTAGAAAATATATGCTATTTATCTCTCGTTCTCCTCTTCCAAGCCTATCTTATATTACCACAGAAGTAATGATTGTGTGACAGAATCATGGATTTTAATATATGTGTTTTTTCTGTGTATTGTTAATATTGACATAGCTTCAATTTTCTAGTCTCTGCTCTCCCTCTTCATTGTTAAGTTTCTTCTTCCATTTGGTAAAAGCTGCAGATTTTAGTTACATTTAAGATTAAGTGAAGTGCTTGTACGAAAAACCTGCCAACAGTTTTGTTTCTGTCGCAGAAGTGGTGTAATAAGACACATGACTCTGGCAAATAAGCAATTCTTGCCCTCAAGGCTCTAAGGGTATAAAACAAACAAGTGTAGAGGAGAGAAAGAAGTGCCAAATCTGGAGTGAGCTGTTGCACACACCTTCCTTAAATCCCTGTCGGCAGATAGCCGAAGCTGGGAATAACAAAAGCAGACTCGGGGAGGAGGAAAGAGTATTGGGGGACAAAACAGGCTGGGCTGAGAGATACGGTGATTGATCCTTCCTGGGTAGAGCAGATCAGGGCAAGAAGCAGTCAAGGTCATCAGTAAAAAACCTGTGTAGAACTGCACTCACGTGCTGCTAATTGAGGTGGAGGCGTTTGAACAGTGACAGTCACTGAGAGTTGCAGGTAATTAAATTTACCTCTGAACTTCAGACCGTGAGGTAAATCATGGTTCCTCTTAGTGCAAAACTGCCTGTGTGTGAACACAGCAGATTTGATGTGATTTGAATTATTCAATTGGTCTAAATCAAGTCAAACCATCACAATGCCTGAGGATTCAAAGTAGTGTGTGTGCTTCTTATCAAACTGTTCTTTGAAAGGTGTTCCAGGAAGAAACAGGAATGATGATTAGGATATGTGGAGTAAAAATCGTGTAGTTATCACCAAAATGATGTTTTACATTTGTGATGAATTCTTCATATTTACAGAGTTTTATCCTTTAGCTGGAAAGGCTGAAAATTAACATGGCATATTTCCAGACTGGCAGTTGGATGTCGTAATAATAGCTGTAGTATTCTTGATTTTTCCACTGACATTTGTTCAGGATGATTTGCCATCTGAAATACATTTACAACTAGTGTTCTGTCTGAGTTCACTTCATAGACATGAGAAGACTCAATTTGGAATTAAATGTTACTTTTATGGGTCACAAGTGTTCCCTTAAATCCACTTCTTACAGCCAAATTAGTAATGAAAACATCGCTTTGATTATTTGTTCTGCTGTTTTACACAGCTTTCAGATGATTACATCATATTTACAATTGATTATTATAATAATTATATTCATTTACAGAGTAATAACTGATCTTTCTGTTGTAAAGCAAACCAGATAATCTTGTGAGCTCATAACCCACATGTCTTTTTGAAGACTTAACTCTACTACACCAATAACAGAAAGTCAGCCAGTATGTGATTGCAAATGGATTTGGCACAAGATAGATGGAAGAGCAAATAACAAGGAGAACAGGTAACAACTGTTGAGGTAAATATGCTTTCCTTTTCTTTTGCAGTTTTGGGCACACTCATCTGTAGAAACTGTGTGGATCCCTCTCTCGGTTAGTTTTATTTTGTTGGACGTGCCTCATTATAACACTCAAGCTTTTAAGTTCTGAAGTAGCAGAGATTAATTTCTGGAAGGTTGAAAATTTTTAGTCTAATTGTAAGTGTGAAATTTAATGGCTTTTGATGTGTGTATGACATCAGATAAGATGTTGACTCATGTATAAATGATAAAAGATGTATTTAGTAATTAACCATCTTTAAAGTGTTTCTTTGGAGTACTGAGGGGAAAATAAATCAGAAGGCATCCAACTAAACAGATTGAGGATCTCATTTTGCATTCTTTAAAAGAACACTGTCTCTAAGGATTCCTGAGTTGGAGATGAATGATGTAACGTGTTTCAATAAACAATTTGTACTCCATTTCAGATGTTACTTTTTGTTACTTGATTGAAAATAATCTTTACCATTTTCACATCTTTAAAACTATTCTGGTTTAGGGATGTCAAGTCAGATTTTCTGTACTGTAGTATACAGGTGTTGGCTTTATGATAAAGGAATAATATTCCCTGCAGAAAGGTGTGTCCCTCTAAGTGAAGGGAAGACCTTGTATGTTGCCATGTCAGTAGATGCACAGATATACATCTAGTTTGGTGACTGCATGGTGACCTTTCCAAATCCCCATATTCAGGGGTTTGGTTCTCTCAGCTGACAAGTCTATTG